GATTTCTTTCAACGATACGTCAAAAGATCACAAATTGTATCTAGTCGAAGACATTACCCTTCAAAATTGAAAAAATATCCCTTGTTCCCCATAAATGGGGGAAACCTGCAAAAAAATTACAAATTTAAAAATCGCTAATTTTCGAAATTTTTTCAATTTTTTTTACTAAAAACTGCCGTAACTTTTTCAAAAATGAACATATCAATATAATTTTTTTTTATATAGATGCTTGATGTCTTTACCTATCATTTGGTATATTTTTTTTGTAAATCTGACACTTAACCTGCCCACAGGGGGGGATTTAAAATGACAACTTTTTCACAAAAAATTAACTTTTTCAACTTAACTTTTGAAAATGTTCCGGAAGGTCTGACACTTTTATATATATCTTAAATTAAAGCTAATGTAATATACTTTAATTTGAAAAAAAAAAATTTGACCTCTGGACTTGTCTTCGTGGTGAAAGTTGACATCAAAGTTAATAAAAAATTACGATTTTTGTAAAATAATTTTTTTTTATATTTTTAACTTAATAATGCTCTAACTTTTTCAAAAATGAACATATCAATATAATTTTTTTTTATATAGATGCTTGATGTCTTTACTTATCATTTGGTATATTTTTTTTGTAAATCTGACACTTAACCTGCCCACAGGGGGGGATTTAAAATGACAACTTTTTCACAAAAAATTAACTTTTTCAACTTAACTTTTGAAAATGTTCCGGAAGGTCTGACACTTTTATATATATCTTAAATTAAAGCTAATGTAATATACTATAATTTGAAAAAAAAAAAATTGACCTCTGGACTTGTCTTCATGGTGAAAACGGCTATCGAATGCTATTTTTGTGTGAAAATTTTCGATTTTATAATTTACATTTTTTACTTTAAAGTGTTATAACTTATTGAAAAGTGTATGGATCAACACAATTTTTTTATGAGAAATAATATTTTTTAATAATCCCTTTTTAATTTGACATGCTCTATCTTAATCAAGATATTAATAAGGAACTAGCAGATCATGTAGCTTTTGGAATAATACACCAATTTTTTTAAAATTAAACACAATCTAAAGATTTGCATCGAAGCGTTTATTTTTGATAGTGATTTTAATCACTGTCAGATATCATTATACTTGATCCAACTATACCACGGCACCACTGTGCTGCGACCCCCCTGTGCTGGGTTTTCTTTTAATTTTGAGCTTACTTGAGACTTACGAGAAATATATGCTAATTATGATATCCACGCTATCAATTTTCAACTTAAAATTTTGTAACTAAAAAATTTGTATTTTCAAGTAAAAATTAAACTATTTTGATATACTAATCGTAATATATGATCAAAATATTAATAACAGGGGCTGTTTGTTGTTTTTTGTTAAAATATCAAAAAAAAAGTTCAGCGACCAGTAAATTTTTTTATTTTTAATCATAAGTTTTCACGTGGTGTCGCGGTTGTCACACTAGTTGTTGACAAAACTCTGTGTTTTTTGAATCAAACAATATTTTCCTTACCAAAAATTTAAAATTTTCAATAGTTACTGAGTAAACGAGTGTCTTATCCTTAATGAATCACCCTGTATAGTGCTATGTGCAAATATATTTTATCGAGGAATATTATATGTTATATATAAATTTCAAGACGGTTATAATTTTATATGTGTTGTACTTTCATTATCAGAACAGTGCATTATTAATAATCTTTTTTTTCTCATATATGATGTATGAGTCTATGAGTTTATCGTTTAAATTGGGATTCATCTATGACAATTATGGTGTCCAACGTTAAATCGCGGTTACCAATATTTTTATAAAAATTAAATTTGTTACATAGTCCCACGTATATTAACCTGCTGAATTTTTTTTAATTATTCTATTATATGAACACAATTATTATAATTAGAATATTAATAATTTTTGTGTATACCAGGGGTGTATTTAAGAGATATGGGCCCCCCTTAAACCAGAGCTATCAATATTTTTTAGGCAACTTCTAATAAATAAGGAACTAATATCCTATTTTTCATCATTACTTTAATTTTTAGCAAAAAAAATTCTATAACATGTTTAACAAAGTAAAAAATATTAAATACCCTCCTAAAATAATTTTTGAATAGGCCTAAAGGGAATACCTCATTAACAAACGTCAACCTTATACCCAATACATTTTACTATATTTTCTTTTTGAATTTTCCTGATATTAATAATAACATTTTTAATATATTTTTGTTACACTGATTCTGATGTAATATTTTTTCTGCAAAACACTTATCGTACCCCTATCGGAATCGGTGGCCTACTTATGATGACGGCCCGAAGAGGCTTACGCGCCGAAGTCGCGTAAGGCTCGTAGGTCTCCTTGTCTAGGACGGAGCCCCAGCTAGACGGAGCCTAGTATAATATATAATTTATATAAAAATAATTTTTCTATTAAAAAAAAAATAGTGAAATTTGATTTCATCAAATGAAAAATACTTTTTGTAATTTTGTAAAAAAAATAAGATTGTTAAAATTTGCCGCCCTCCAAATTTTGTCACTCTAGGCCTGGGCCTGTGCCTATATACGCTTCTACATTCAACACTTACTAATGAACTAATGAAACTAATAAACATAATCAATGGCGGCTCGTGGGTGCTGGTAGTGGGGAAACTATTTAAAAATTTGCATTTTTAATAAACATGTAGAATTAAGAATATACAATTAACTTTCTTCTTTTAATTAATTTTAGTAGGGGGTGCGATAGTCCCGTCGTCCAAGCCACGAGCCGCCACTGGTCATATTTCTTTTCAACAGAGAGAAACGTTATGACACCGCCACAGAGAATCTCTGATGGTATCACAATAATTTCTATAAATAATATTTTCCGAACTATTTCAGAAACTCACACTTTTTTAAGGTTAAATCTAAATTCAAATTTAATCAACTAAATTTTTAAAAAACCATCTTCTCTCACGTCCATTATCTTTTTTCAAAACGATATGATAAGTTGTATTCAAACTTGCTTAAATTGTCACTTATATTGTTTTTTTTATTGTGTTCTTGTTTTAGATAAATCTAAGTTGCAGTTCGTTCGAATAAATAGTCTCTTTAAATTATTTGAGTCTATATTATACTACATGATAGGTCTCTATAGTAATATATCGATGTTTTTTTAGATTTATCTAGTGGTATACAGAATGGGTAAGCCGGATAAATTCTGCCTTACTTTTTATTATGGCTGACTTGCACCAGAGACCTTATACCACCAATGAGCAAATCACAAGAAAAATCTTGGCCACCTGGGGATTGATCTCGGATCACAGTGCACTTAAACATAAATTTCTACCCATTAGGCTAAGCTGACCCCAAAAGTTAAAATAAAATATGAAAATGTTTAAAAAAAAAATTATTTTAAAGGGTTCAATCTCATTTCTGCCCCTTTAAATTTTTTGTATGTAGAGTAAGATGGAAAAAATTATTAAATTAAATTCGCCACTGTAAATTTATTACACCTACGAACAACCCTTAAAAACGGCCCTGTATACAGGATGGATTTGACGGAGGGTTTTAAAGAAACTTGTCATGTGGTACACATTTTCGGGACACACAGACGTCAATCGAAAAAATAAAATTCAACCTCTTTATCATTTTCATATATGATCCTCACAAATCATATATGCAACTAAAGGGGCTAGACCACCCCTCCACAAATAAAAGTAAACGTTGTGTTAACGTTTACATAAAAATATTTTTAAATATGTTACTTAAATAAATTTACAGAGTGATAAGTTAACCACTGACCACTTGGTTTCTTATAAAAAAATAATAATATTGAAAATTTTTTTTTTTGCTTTGATAATTAATATAATATTAATTTATAAGTGGTTAAATAAGTTTTAGATCCACCCTTTATACTTTATACTAATTCAAGGAAATTATTTTAAATTAATGTAACAATATTTATTTTATTATAAACGACTTGAACAACTGGGAAAATACATTGTATTTTTTCTATTGCATACATAAGTATAAAAAAAATAATAATTATGAAATAATAATATATATGTATACATATTTGCTAAAATAAATAATAGTTTATTTGTTTAGTAAAATAATTTTTTTTTTTTTATACACATAGATAAATATATTATATTGTCTATAAAAGTAACAATTTAATTAATTGAATTAAATATATATATATATATATATATATATATATATATATATACAAATAATTACAATTTAAATTAATTTAATATATTAAACAAAAAAAAAAATTTTTTAACTCATTTTTTGTTTATTTTTAAGAATAATGACCCTAAGCTTTTGTGTATATATCCGGGTATTTTTCATCACCACCGACTAATGCACGTTTGTCATATTTACAGGTTAAAGCAACTTTTTTCATTTCTATTATTTGTAAAATGTGATTTTTGGA